AAAAAAAAAATGTTTAAATTATTATTATTCTGCAAGCAATTCAGTGGGTTATGATAAAAAAATCACCCTGTATATATAAATATATATATATATATATATACGTATAGATTACTTACAGTCTTGGTAAACGATCCATGATTCTGATTTTGACAGATGGTAATCGGGTGTCTTAGGATTGTTGGCCTTTGCATAGTGCTTGACGGCCTGCACTAGCCCACCACGAATGCCCTGTTCCACCATCAGTAGCNTTCTGTCGTTATGGAATTATAATTTCTAACAATTTTATGATGGGTAACCAGACGCTTAGGTAAGCATATTTCCAACATCAAAGGTACCGCAATATTATAACCCATATTACCGTCAACATTTTACGAAAAATAATTGCTGTCTGCGTTTTATCANCAGTGTACTTCAACATACAATCGAAGCTAAAACCAGGCGCGGTGTAATAGTGCGCTGGGTCCAAATTGTATGTTGAAATACAGATGTCGCGGAAGTTCTCAAACACATCAGCCAACAACAACACGTCGATCTTAAGATANCGAAAAATAATTGCTGTCTGCGTTTTATCAAAGTTCTCTTTTTCTAAGAGTTTGTATTATTGCCTACCAGACGCTTAGGCAAGTATATTTTAAACATCAAAGATGTCGCCGCATAGTAATGATCATTGTGGTATGAATTTAATTTTTACATAGTATTTTATCGTTGGTTACCAGACGCTTAGGTCAGCATNGCTCACCGAGAGTTGAGCAGTCGAAACTGTTCCACACCTCCGTGGCATGTCTATAGTCGTCGTCATCAATATTAGACTCACTCAACTGACTATAGAAAGCGTCCTGAGGTGGTAGTTCCGTTTCTTNTTACGACATTATAATTTCTAAAAAATTTATCATTGGCTACCAGATACTTAGGTCAGCATATTTCAAATATCAAAGGTACCGCTATATTATAACGTTCATAGGAGTCAGCATTTTATGAGAACAATTGCTATCATCGTCTACCAGACGCTTAGGTCAGCCTATTCCAGACATCAAATGTATTACTATATTATAACGTTCATAAACGTCAGCATATTATGAGAACAAAGACAACGTCTGTCGTTATGGTATTATAATTTCTAAGAATTTTATCATGGGTAACCAGACGCTTAGGTCAGCATATTCCAGNTGGTATGACCGAAATCCTTTGGTCGTCGTACCCCAATTCAGTGACTATGAAATGAGCGTCGTAACCTGAAAGATTGTGCAAGAAGCACGGCACAAAGTTGACCGTCTTCACTTTCAGGTTACATGCATTGCACAACGTNGAGATCACTGTACAGTAATGTCGTATGATTCTTATCATCGGATACCATACGCTTTGGTAATCATCTTTCCAAAGATGTTACCATGTATTAGTGGTCACTGTCGTATGCATTTTATGAGAACAATTGCTATCATCGTTTACCAGACGCTTAGGTAAGCATATTTCCAACATCGTTTGTATAGTATCTGAACCTGTTTAAACCAACCCAAACTTGTCTAAAGAAGATCTTCGAACACTATAAAAGAACGTCACATCAATTTCAGACTCATTCACTCATTATCTTTTCTAAAGCGATTATACCAAAAACCATTTGTCTGANCATAAATGACAGTGGTCTGCGACTTTGGGGTTGGAATCCTTAAATGCTGTACGGCACAAGTCGCATACCACTTTCTCCTCGTGCCTGCGCACATCATCGACAAACATTCGGATGGGAACGTTGGTTTTGCGCAACAATTTAGAATTGTTGCGCGTCACTTCAGTTACAGCCATCGCAAATGCCTTGGCGACCTCTTCGTGATCCTTGGACCCACGGTATATCACCGGTGATTGTGGTATACCATAGCGTTCGAGGAGCTCGGAGGGCACATCGTCCGATGTTTTCACCANAATTGTCCTGAAGAATTTCTATGACATTTGATATAAAATAATGTAAGTAATACATTTATATATATTTTTCATTTAAACTGTTTTCAACTGACTTTGGTTACTAGTTTATATTTAGAGTTGTTTAAAACTTTGTTAATTTTTTATTTTAGAATGGAGCAATTAAAGAAACAGTTCAACGATCAGAGTACATTAAAAAGATATTCAAAATTAAGTGATCTGGAGGAACACACGCCATACAAAGTCATATCTATGAAAAATACAAGCACTCGAAATGGGGTTGTCGTTGTTGGTTGTCTATTCAACAATATGAATGTGTTTATCCCGAGATTGAAATTAACTAATGAAGAAATCGAAGCTTACAATATCAACAATGATGACAACAAATTACATTTATTATCTAGAGGCAAAAGTGGAAATGCATATTTGTTTGATTTTCAGTAATTTGTTAATATTTTTCCTTGTTTTTTAAACTTATTTATATAAAAAAATAAAAAAAACTTAGTATCATAAACTTGTAAGATTTAAAATTCAATAATATATACTATTTTTTTTATTTTATACAATTTTGTCATATTTATTTAAACTTTATGCCTTTGTGTATAATAAAAGTCTATAGTACTAAGCAGTGCAAAGAAGAGTTTTACACATTAAATAGCAAATTTACTATACGCTATGGTATTTTTAGCAGGTTGTACTATGTATGGCATGTAGTAGGCTGTTTATAAAAGTAGTAGGGACACTGTGTCGGTTTACCGAACAGCATGTCCTGGAATCGTATAATCTCGATACAACAAGTCTGAACATGTTAAAACCTGTCTGAACGCGTTCAAATCCCTGTTCATCCTGTTTGAACCCCGTCTGCTTGTGTTTACAACTGTTTGTATCATATCTAACGACGAAAATTAGACTATTAATTACTATTGGGTTTAAATTAGTTAATAACTTCACCGTGGTGTAAGCATAGCGCTCTAATCGTTATAAGATTTTCTATATAAACAGACGTTACTTTAACTTGTTGGTAATGTGTTAAGTCGATATTTGTATACTTTAAGAATGGCTGGTTCTCTCGCTACAATTGCCAAATTCTATAACAAACAAACATTTGCTAAACCCCAACCTCACAGTGAATTAATCGATTGCACTGATTACGTTTTGAATTTCAATCCTCGTAAATTCGTTCAGATAGGATTGGATCCAAAAGATCGATTTAACGTAACTATTCGTTTACTATCGTCAACCCGTTACATACTTATAACGATAGATTTCCTACAACGGATTTATACGTTGATGGGTAATATTCTGTCGCTAATTTTCGACCCTGTATCAAGACAAAAGATTATTTTACTCAAGGATGAATACGTCACACTCTCAAAGACTACGTTTCAAGGAGAGTCTTCGCTAGTCTTTGAATCACAAGCACAAGATGAATGCCGAGTGTTACTCACCCAATCAGACATTTTAAAACTCAGCGCTTTGGAATGTTGTATCTTTGAGACTATCAATCAAAAGATGACTGTAATTCAACCATTGGTTCTACAACAGTTGGAACAGATGGCTCAATATATGAAATCTCAGTATGAAGTAAATGTGGAAAACAAATGTATGTTGATCAATGCGGTTTCGGATTATACGATTAGAAATAGTTTACCCAATAGCGATCTGAGCTACATAAGCCAAATAAAACAATTTGCGAGCCAGCAGTTGGAACAACGGTGGACGATGCTGGAAGAATATACTAAAGAAATGGTGAATTACATTTTTTTTTTTTCTAACTGAGTAGAACATTTTTTAATAAATATTTTTCTTTTTTTCAGTCTTCTAACGGAGAAAACGTATGCTCGACATTTTTTGGGTCGCTGGCCGATGATATACAGTCGGAACCAATCATACCATCAAATACAAATAACCAAGAAATACCAACAGTAGTTGTTAGTAATAGCTATCTGTCGACAAGTATCTAAAACATGTATATAATTTAAAAAAAAAAAAAAAAAAATTGTTTAAAATAAACGTATGTTGCATTGACATGTGCTATTATTATTATATACTGAGACATTGTGAAAATCTCGTTTTTAACGTAACTTGTAATTAAAATTATAATGGATACAAATACGTTTAAATAATAATGTTTAAAATAATGATTATTATCTAAGATTTTATTTCTATCATGAAAAAAAACTCTTTTTTCTTCTTTTTAATTCTTCAGAAAGGTTAAAACATGGTCAAAAACCTAGCTGTATGATACATGTAAAATACAGTAGGGTATACTTAGAGTTTTGGTGGATAATACCTTACCATCAAAATGTGACACCTCATTACGTAACTATAGTTTAAATACTAGGGCATCTTACACGTACAACTATTGTACTGTACAGAAGAGAAAAAAAACGATGTAGTATATATATATATATTTACAAATATGTACACGCATATACATATATTTTTTAGAAAAAATACAATTTCTTACTACATTATGTTACATTAAAAAAATGTTTTAAAACTACTTATATACATGTATATTTACAAAAAAAAAATTTTCAATTATTGACGATTTTTTTTTTTTACAATGATAAGAACTATAGGTCTTCCGGTGGTGGTATAGCATAATGCCCGTGGGCCAACGTGTCGATTCTGTTGTTGAGCGTGTAGCGCTTATCATCAAAACGGTTAAGCGCCAACTTGGTTGTACGTAAAGTCCGTACCTCGTGCTCAAACGAACGGATTGACACGTTCTGTCGGTACGGAGTGTAGGGTAGCGCCAATGTCGGTGGAGACTCGCCACCACGTATCACTCCGATGACCGCACGGGCATTTTCTCCAGCCAATGCTCGTTTTGACGCATCGTCACCATCGTCACCATCGTCTTTAAACAAACACCGTTTGTAATCGTCCAAAGACAGATGGTTCCGGACGACGTGTCCGCGGATCCCCTTAGACTTTATGAGTTCGCTGCCTTCCATGTCAAATGCGTAGCACTTTGATCGAAGTGCAGCGATCTCAAAGAGAGTGAGGCCACTGGTCTCGTCTGAAAACAAGCCGGGCATCTTCTTTCTATCGGTGGAGTAGCAAGGGTGATCCTTGGGCAGGCTAGATGCGTCCACGTGCACCAGTAAATCGGGGCTACCAGCTAAATCCTGGTAGAAGTCGCCTACTCTGAGCAGGTATATGAAGGAGTCTGAGAAAAATTAAAAATATATAAATATAAAAAATATTTCTACTGTACGGTTGTACTCACCAGTATCCATGTAAACCAATTCGATTGCACTGCCATAATGTGGTTTCAATACGTCGTAGAAGTACTTGTACATTAGCGTCTTGCTAATGTCAAGCACTGCTAAACCGACGTATATTGGTTTGATAAACTTGACCATCTTTGTGTCCATTATGACGGCGCACAACCTTTCACCGTATTTGATACAGTCGTTGAAGGTTGGTTGGTTTACGAGCTTGCTTAGACGTTCGGGACTGGAGATTAGCTCAATACGGATGCGTTTCCGCATGTTCTCCATTGTTTTCCCTATAAAATGTAAAAAATTATCGAATAACCCACTTTAGCATTGAGCATGCACTTACCAAAGACGGCATTGTTCATTAGTTTGAAAAATGCAATTTCAAAAGCATTTGCCGCCTTTTTCCGCATTTCAGTGTTCAACTCAATGTATGGTTTCAACCAAGCACTTTGTTGAAACTCTAAAACGCGGTGCACCTGCAGTACAAATATTTATATTAGTATCATCGCTTATAGTTTATAGGTTAACTATACATACTTTATCGACTTGCAGTCCGTGTGCGATCGCCTGTTTAAGATTAACGTAATGTACGACGTACCGCTGTTTGGGTTTCAAAGTGGCCATGAGTTTGGTCTCTTTGGAACCCGGCGGTACATCGTTGACAGGCAAGAACGGCAAGTCGTTGTGCTCGTCATGCAGCTCTTGTGGATACGATACGTCCACTTCATATATACGCCCCGTATTACCAGTGTCCGACAACGATTGGAGGTCAGCCAGAGGGTCTGCTCCTTTATACCACCGGAAGCCACCGTACGGCATGGGCTGACTCATAGCCCACCCGTAAAGGTTATTGCCTGTAAACATTAAACGTTATTAAACCACCGCTCAAATATTGCGCGTTTATATATATACGTATAGATTACTTACAGTCTTGGTACACGATCCATGATTCTGGTTTTGACGGATCGTAATCGGGTGTCTTAGAATTGTTGGCCTTTGCATAGTGCTTGACGGCCTGCACTAGCCCACCACGAATGCCCTGTTCCACCATCAGTAGCATGTCGTAGTCGTTCAAGAGCTCCAGCTTCATCCTGGTGTATTTCAACATACAATCGAAGCTAAAACCAGGCGCGGTGTAATAGTGCGCCGGGTCCAAATTGTATGTTGAAATACAGATGTCGCGGAAGTTCTCAAACACATCAGCCAACAACAACACGTCGATCTTAAGATATAGGTCGCTGTACTCACCGAGGGTTGAGCAGTCGAAACGGTTCCACACCTCCGTGGCATGTCTATAGTCGTCGTCATCAATATTAGACTCACTCAACTGACTATAGAAAGCGTCCTGAGGTGGTAGTTCCGTTTCTTCCAATTTAGCCCAACTATCAGTGTACTCGTAGGGGTATACGCCCTTACGCGTCACCAACGGCATGTCTTCCGGGCGGAACACCTTGGCCGTCTCCCGGAATTTAACAAAGTCGGGCGTCATTAGGTTACCGGCCAAGGTGGACAGGGAGGAGGCCATGAACCGGAAGGTGTCGACAAACCGTATGGAGAAGTTATTGGTCACGTGTTTCGTGACCGAAATATACTTCTCCTCGGAATTCGGTATGACCGAAATCCTTTGGTCGTCGTACCCCAATTCAGTGACTATGAAATGCGCGTCGTAACCTGAAAGATTGTGCAAGAAGCACGGCACAAAGTTGACCGTCTTCACTTTCAGGTTACATGCATTGCACAACGTCTGTCTGAATCGGCCCGATAAATGGCAGTGGTCTGCGACTTTGGGGTTGGAATCCTTGAATGCCGTGCGGCACAAGTCGCATACCACTTTCTCCCCGTGCCTGCGCACATCTTCGATAGACATTCGGATGGGAACGTTGGTTTTGCGCAACAATTTAGAAATGTTGCGCGTCACTTCAGTTACAGCCATCACAAATGCCTTGGCGACCTCTTCGCGATCCTCGGACCCACGGTATATCACCGGTGATTGTGGTATACCATAGCGTTCGAGGAGCTCGGAGGGCACATCGTCCGATGTTTTCACCATGAACCCATAGCTCATGGGATGGTGGATGTGCACAGTCCTAGTATAGGCACCCATACGATCGTCTGTTTTCTCCAGTAAGGCTTCAAAATCGGCGTAGATGACAAACGGTAACCGTTGCGTCTTTACCCACGCGTCAAATTCGACCTTACTGCCCTCTGCCGGCATAACGGGTAAAATAGGTTTGTTCTTGCCGCATATCAACTTGTGTTGCTCCAACGCTTGTTGACCCCGAAGAATATACTTTTTAGGCATATAATCAAAGCTGGTGAAGCAACGTTTGCAAGTGTATATGCGGCATTTGTGATTAGTTTTTTGGCTGCGTACAAGCCTCGAAAAATCAGAAATGTACGCGTAATGATACTTGTCAGAGTCACCGATGTACAACAGGTCAAAATGATTCTGTTGCTCTTGGTCGGCGACTCTTAGAGGATACACCAACCACTTCATCTTANTTATATAAAATAAAAAAACTTATTATCATAAACTTGTAAGATTTAAAATTCAATAAAATATAATATTTTAATTTTATACAATTTTGTCGTATTTATCTACACTTTATGTCTTTGTGTATAATGAATATTAAATATAAGTCTGTAGTATTAAGCAGTACAAAGAAGAGTTTTACACATTAAATATATACAGCAAATTTAGTATACTCTATAATAATTGTAGCAGGTTGTACTATGCATGGTATGTAGTAGGCTGTATATAAAAGTAGTAGGTACACTGTGTTGGTTTACCGAACAGTGTATCCTGGAATCGTATAATTTAGATTCAACAAGTCTGAACATGTTAAAACCTGTCTGAACGCATTCAAATCCCTGTTCATCCTGTTTGAACCATGTCTGCCTGTACAGAAGAGAAAAAAACGTTTTAGTATATAAATATATATTTACAGATATGTACACGAATATACATATATTTTTTTTAGAAAAAATATAATTTCTTACTACATTATGTTACATTAAAAAAATGTTTTAAAACTACTTATATACATGTATATTTACAAAAAATATTTTCAATTCTTGGCGATATTTTTTTTTTACAAAGATAATAACTTAAAAACTATAAGTCTACCGGTGGTGGTATAGCATAATGCCCGTGGGCCAACGTGTCGATTCTGTTGTCGAGCGTGTAGCGCTTATCATCGAAACGGTTAAGCGCCAACTTGGTTGTACGTAAAGTCCAACCTCGTGCTCAAACGAACGGATTGACACGTTCTGTCGGTACGGTGTGTAGGGTAACGATAATGTCGGTGGAGATTCACCACCGCGTATCACTCCGATGACCGCACGGGCATTCTCTCCAGCCAATGCTCGTTTTGACGCATCGTCACCATCACCATCGTCTTTGAACAAACACCGTTTGTAGTCGTCCAAAGACAGATGGTTCCGGACGACGTGTCCACGGATCCCCTTAGACATTATGAGTTCGTTGCCTTCTATGTCAAATGCGTAGCACTTTGATCGAAGTGCAGCAATCTCAAAGAGAGTGAGGCCACTGGTCTCGTCTGAAAACAAGCCGGGCATCTTCTTTCTATCGGTGGAGTAGCAAGGGTGATCCTTGGGCAGGCTAGATGCGTCCACGTGCACCAGTAAATCGGGGCTACCAGCTAAATCCTGGTAGAAGTCGCCTACTCTGAGCAGGTATATGAAGGAGTCTGAGAAAAATTAAAAATATATAAATATAAAAAATATTTCTACTGTACGGTTGTACTCACCAGTATCCATGTAAACCAATTCGATTGCACTGCCATAATGTGGTTTCAATACGTCGTAGAAGTACTTGTACATTAGCGTCTTGCTAATGTCAAGCACTGCTAAACCGACGTATATTGGTTTGATAAACTTGACCATCTTTGTGTCATTATGACGGCGCACAATCTTTCACCGTATTTGATACAGTCGCTGAAGGTTGGTTGATTTACGAGCTTGTTTAGACGTTCGGGACTGGAGATTAGCTTGTTCTCCATTGTTTTCCCTATAAAATGTAAAAAATTATCGAATAACCCACTTTAGCATTGANACAGGTTAGATGCGTCCACGAGCATCAGTAAATCGGGGCTATCAGCTAAATCCTGGTAGAAGTCGCCTACTCTGAGCAGGTATATGAAGGAGTCTGAGAAAAATTAAAATATATATATATATAATAAAAAATATTTCTTCTAAATAATTTCTCAATTTTAAAATATTTCTATTTTGTACGGTTGTACTCACCAGTATCCATGTAAACCAATTCGATTGCACTGCCATAATGTGGTTTCAATACGTCGTAGAAGTACTTGTACATTAGCGTCTTGCTAATGTCAAGCACTGCTAAACCGACGTATATTGGTTTGATAAACTTGACCATCTTTGTGTCCATTATGACGGCGCACAACCTTTCACCGTATTTGATACAGTCGTTGAAGGTTGGTTGGTTTACGAGCTTGCTTAGACGTTCGGGACTGGAGATTAGCTCAATACGGATGCGTTTCCGCATGTTCTCCATTGTTTTCCCTATAAAATGTAAAAAATTATCGAATAACCCACTTTAGCATTGAGCATGCACTTACCAAAGACGGCATTATTCATTAGTTTGAAAAATGCAATTTCAAAAGCATTTGCCGCCTTTTTCCGCATTTCAGTGTTCAACTCAATGTATGGTTTCAACCAAGCACTTTGTTGAAACTCTAAAACGCGGTGCACCTGCAGTACAAATATTTATATTAGTATCATCGCTTATAGTTTATAGGTTAACTATACATACTTTATCGACTTGCAGTCCGTGTGCGATCGCCTGTTTAAGATTAACGTAATGTACGACGTACCGCTGTTTGGGTTTCAAAGTGGCCATGAGTTTGGTCTCTTTGGAACCCGGCGGTACATCGTTGACAGGCAAGAACGGCAAGTCGTTGTGCTCGTCATGCAGCTCTTGTGGATACGATACGTCCACTTCATATATACGCCCCGTATTACCAGTGTCCGACAACGATTGGAGGTCAGCCAGAGGGTCTGCTCCTTTATACCACCGGAAGCCACCGTACGGCATGGGCTGACTCATAGCCCACCCGTAAAGGTTATTGCCTGTAAACATTAAACGTTATTAAACCACCGCTCAAATATTGCGCGTTTATATATATACGTATAGATTACTTACAGTCTTGGTACACGATCCATGATTCTGGTTTTGACGGATCGTAATCGGGTGTCTTAGAATTGTTGGCCTTTGCATAGTGCTTGACGGCCTGCACTAGCCCACCACGAATGCCCTGTTCCACCATCAGTAGCATGTCGTAGTCGTTCAAGAGCTCCAGCTTCATCCTGGTGTATTTCAACATACAATCGAAGCTAAAACCAGGCGCGGTGTAATAGTGCGCCGGGTCCAAATTGTATGTTGAAATACAGATGTCGCGGAAGTTCTCAAACACATCAGCCAACAACAACACGTCGATCTTAAGATATAGGTCGCTGTACTCACCGAGGGTTGAGCAGTCGAAACGGTTCCACACCTCCGTGGCATGTCTATAGTCGTCGTCATCAATATTAGACTCACTCAACTGACTATAGAAAGCGTCCTGAGGTGGTAGTTCCGTTTCTTCCAATTTAGCCCAACTATCAGTGTACTCGTAGGGGTATACGCCCTTACGCGTCACCAACGGCATGTCTTCCGGGCGGAACACCTTGGCCGTCTCCCGGAATTTAACAAAGTCGGGCGTCATTAGGTTACCGGCCAAGGTGGACAGGGAGGAGGCCATGAACCGGAAGGTATCGACGAACCGTATGGAGAAGTTATTGGTCACGTGTTTCGTGACCNGGTTGGTTTACGAGCTTGCTTAGACGTTCGGGACTGGAGATTAGCTCAATACGGATGCGTTTCCGCATGTTCTCCATTGTTTTCCCTATAAAATGTAAAAAATTATCGAATAACCCACTTTAGCATTGAGCATGCACTTACCAAAGACGGCATTGTTCATTAGTTTGAAAAATGCAATTTCAAAAGCATTTGCCGCCTTTTTCCGCATTTCAGTGTTCAACTCAATGTATGGTTTCAACCAAGCACTTTGTTGAAACTCTAAAACGCGGTGCACCTGCAGTACAAATATTTATATTAGTATCATCGCTTATAGTTTATAGGTTAACTATACATACTTTATCGACTTGCAGTCCGTGTGCGATCGCCTGTTTAAGATTAACGTAATGTACGACGTACCGCTGTTTGGGTTTCAAAGTGGCCATGAGTTTGGTCTCTTTGGAACCCGGCGGTACATCGTTGACAGGCAAGAACGGCAAGTCGTTGTGCTCGTCATGCAGCTCTTGTGGATACGATACGTCCACTTCATATATACGCCCCGTATTACCAGTGTCCGACAACGATTGGAGGTCAGCCAGAGGGTCTGCTCCTTTATACCACCGGAAGCCACCGTACGGCATGGGCTGACTCATAGCCCACCCGTAAAGGTTATTGCCTGTAAACATTAAACGTTATTAAACCACCGCTCAAATATTGCGCGTTTATATATATACGTATAGATTACTTACAGTCTTGGTACACGATCCATGATTCTGGTTTTGACGGATCGTAATCGGGTGTCTTAGAATTGTTGGCCTTTGCATAGTGCTTGACGGCCTGCACTAGCCCACCACGAATGCCCTGTTCCACCATCAGTAGCATGTCGTAGTCGTTCAAGAGCTCCAGCTTCATCCTGGTGTATTTCAACATACAATCGAAGCTAAAACCAGGCGCGGTGTAATAGTGCGCCGGGTCCAAATTGTATGTTGAAATACAGATGTCGCGGAAGTTCTCAAACACATCAGCCAACAACAACACGTCGATCTTAAGATATAGGTCGCTGTACTCACCGAGGGTTGAGCAGTCGAAACGGTTCCACACCTCCGTGGCATGTCTATAGTCGTCGTCATCAATATTAGACTCACTCAACTGACTATAGAAAGCGTCCTGAGGTGGTAGTTCCGTTTCTTCCAATTTAGCCCAACTATCAGTGTACTCGTAGGGGTATACGCCCTTACGCGTCACCAACGGCATGTCTTCCGGGCGGAACACCTTGGCCGTCTCCCGGAATTTAACGAAGTCGGGCGTCATTAGGTTACCGGCCAAGGTGGACAGGGAGTAGGCCATGAACCGGAAGGTATCGACGAACCGTATGGAGAAGTTATTGGTCACGTGTTTTGTGACCGAAATATACTTCTCCTCAGAATTTGGTATGACCGAAATCCTTTGGTCGTCGTACCCCAATTCAGTGACTATGAAATGAGCGTCGTAACCTGAAAGATTGTGCAAGAAGCACGGCACAAAGTTGACCGTCTTCACTTTCAGGTTACATGCATTGCACAACGTCTGTCTGAATCGGCCCCATAAATGACAGTGGTCTGCGACTTTGGGGTTGGAATCCTTAAATGCTGTACGGCACAAGTCGCATACCACTTTCTCCTCGTGCCTGCGCACATCATCGACAAACATTCGGATGGGAACGTTGGTTTTGCGCAACAATTTAGAATTGTTGCGCGTCACTTCAGTTACAGCCATCGCAAATGCCTTGGCGACCTCTTCGTGATCCTTGGACCCACGGTATATCACCGGTGATTGTGGTATACCATAGCGTTCGAGGAGCTCGGAGGGCACATCGTCCGATGTTTTCACCATGAACCCATAGCTCATGGGATGGTGGATGTGCACAGTCCTAGTATAGGCACCCATACGATCGTCTGTTTTCTCCAGTAAGGCTTCAAAATCGGCGTAGATGACAAACGGTAACCGTTGCGTCTTTACCCACGCGTCAAATTCGACCTTACTGCCCTCTGCCGGCATAACGGGTAAAATAGGTTTGTTCTTGCCGCATATCAACTTGTGTTGCTCCAACGCTTGTTGACCCCGAAGAATATACTTTTTAGGCATATAATCAAAGCTGGTGAAGCAACGTTTGCAAGTGTATATGCGGCATTTGTGATTAGTTTTTTGGCTGCGTACAAGCCTCGAAAAATCAGAAATGTACGCGTAATGATACTTGTCAGAGTCACCGATGTACAACAGGTCAAAATGATTCTGTTGCTCTTGGTCGGCGACTCTTAGAGGATACACCAACCACTTCATCTTAACGTCGTCTCGTTCCAAGTCGTACACGTTGACAGACACGTTAGGGTTTCGTCGCTCAAATCTCCAATTAGATAAGATTTGTGATCTTTCAACAATCTGTCGAAAGAAATCGATTCTGTTAGAGCTGAGAAAAGTGGTACCAGACATACAAAAAAAAAAAAAAATACATTATAGTAAAGTAAATACCTTCTCAGCTTCGTATCGAATCTAAAATTAGAGGTGATTTTGAATCAAGATTCCAGAAGTTATTAATATTATTATACATAACTGTGGTATATTAAACTTGTGTGTACAACTAACAAATAATTGTAGGATACATTATTCATGTTTATATTTTAATAATAATTTAAAGAATTACTAAGTTATAAAGTAAATTGTGATTAATTATATAACAATAATGAAGAAAAAAATTAATTTTATTACAACATTTAATGAGTTTCTATTTCTAATAGCGTTGGAGGCTCTTCATCTGTCCCTTTAAGTTCCAATTCTATATTTATAACAAAAGTTATAAGAATATGAAATGATATTTTAGTTAATATTTATTTTATTTTAAATACCTTGTATAATTGGTTCCTTTGTTGATGGTACAAATGTTTCTTCAGTAATTGGATCAAATTTAAATCCTAGTTGAAAATAATTTTCTATAATTACTGACTTTATATAATCTTTAAATTTTCGTGTTATGAACTTTAAAAATTTCAATTTTTCGCCCCGTTGAATGATGGCTTTATATTGTAGAACCCATTGATTCCATAAATAATACTGATTATGAGGTACAAATACACAATATGAATCAGTTTCGTTTTTTAAATCTTTTAATAGGATTTCTGAGTATTTATATATAGTTTTAAATGCCGACGAATATGTAGACATATCATCACGGGATAGAGTTCGATCGTTTAATTTGTCAAAAATATCACCTATTCTCCCCAACAAAGGACTAATTATGTAGTCATCGTAGCTTTCTTCTTTAAAATCAGCCGATGATACACTATGTATTGAATGTAAAGCATTCATGGCACCTTTCATCAATGTTGCTAATGGAACAATTAATATAGTTATTATTTTTATGAATCCTTCGGTACAAATGCAAACATTGTTTTTTAAGATTTTTCTTTCTTTATTTTTTGTATAAATTTGTAGGGAGTTAATAATAATTGAAAATATAGTATTCATAACTTTTGCATATGTGCATCCAAGATATATAGTCAAAGCTCGTACCTTTACCATAAATAGAGATCGATGTGAAGGTATTTCAATTAAATTTTCAAGATAATATGTTTTATTTTTATATTTTATGAAGTTCACAACATTTAAATTTTGCCATCCTGAATATATTAATAACTTATCTAACTGATCTATTTGTTTATTTGTAACATTTTCAGCCTTTGTATATAAAGTCAAATAAAATAATAAAACACTAAACTTGAAAAGTTTTAATGAAAACATATGGAAAATAATTAATTATTATTATGATTCAAATTTTTCGAACGAAATATGATTTGACAAAATGTAAAATGACACGTATTTATTTTGTTGTACATTTAAAAATATGAAGACTAACATTTATGATAAAACATGTGTGGTATTATAATAATTTCCTTTAAATAGAATTGTTGTCTCATAACGTTTTTGTACGCGATACAAAAAATTTTATGTGAAATAAGCTTGATTCTTTGGATGTATTAATCAACAAATTAATAACAAGATTAATAATATTAATATTTCTTTCTAATATTAGTTTTGAAAATGTTTGAAAATAAAATACTCTGAGATTCAAACATATGTTATATTAACTATAGTTACTTGATATTAATTAAAAAAAAAAACAATTTTTCCGACACCTTACCCTATATATGAAAATGGCCTCTGAACTATAACAGAATTTTTTATTTTAATGTATAACATCGATTATGGTATTTTTTTATCTTATACGAGGTCATTATTAATATGAAAAGTATTATTGTTATATAATTAATCACAATTTACTTAATTACTTAGTAATTCTATAAATTATTATTAAAATATAAATATGAATTTTGAATCATACAATTATATATTGGTTGTACTTACAGAAGAGTTAAATGTAATATTTATATTAAAAATTATAAAAATTAAAATACTATAAGTAAGGTGCAATTGATTTTATTGCTAAAAATTTCACTTATGTATGATAATATTATTAACTTCTGATATATTGATAAAAAAATTTGATGATTTTAGGGTTAAAAAAAATTATAAATAGGCAGAAGAACCTTTATTCTCGCCTGTTAATTTCGTTAACTGTAACTCTCTATTCAACACTATCAATCTAACTTTCTTTTAGCTTCGATGCGAAGCTGAGAAGGTATTGGTTTTACTATGATGTGTTTTTTTTTTTTTTTGTGTCTGTTACCACTTTTACTCAGCTCTCACCGAACGGATTTCTTTCAACGATACGTCAAAAGATCACATTTTTCACAAAAAATTAACATTTTTAACTTAAATTTTGAAAATGTTCCGGAAGGTCTGACACTTTTATATATATCTTAAATTAAAGCTAATGTAATGTACTTTATTATAAAAAAAAAATTGACCTCTGGACTTGTTTTCGTGGTGAAAATGGCTACCGAATGCTATTTTTGTGTGAAAATTCTCGATTTTATTTTTTACATTTTTAATTTTATAATGCTATAATTTATTGAAAAGTGTATGGATCAAGACAATTTTTTTATGAAAAATAATATTTTTTAATAATCCCTTTTTCTTTCGACATACTTTATCTTAATCAGGATATTAAAATGGAACTAGCAGATCAGGTAGCTTTTGGAATAATACACCAATTTTTTAAAATTAAACACTATCTAAAGATTTGCATCGAAGCGTTTTATTTTGATAGTGATTTTAATCACTGTCAGATATCATTATACTTGATCCAACTATGCCACGTCACTACTGTGCCGCGACCCCCCTGTGCTGGGTTTTTATAATTTTATTAACTTTTAAAGTTAAGATTGTTAAAATGTTCTCAGTTATATTCCCTCCTTCAATTATGTATAATTATATTATTAACTTCCGATATATTGATCCAAAAAGTTATTATTGACAAGTAATTTTCATAATTAAAGCATTATTTTATAAATAACCGAGTAAACAATATATGCTGCCATTTGAAAAAATAAAATGGACAATATATTAAAGCCTTACAGATCAACATAAAAAAACATTAGCACAGAGTGGAAGAGACATAGTTGGGACAAGTACAGATGATATCTGGCAGTGATTAAAATCACTGTCATTAGAAACGCTTCAATGCAAATCTGTAGATAATGCTTACTTTTTAAGATATTACTGGAGTATTTCAAAAGATATATTTAGTCCTATTTCTTCATTATGCCTATTTATATGAATAAATATTTAATAAATTTATTTAACTTCGACTGTCATTTGCAGAAAAAAAATAGGCCGTTGGGGCAATATTTTTCTATATTTATATTATACAATTATCATAAATTATTATATTACTGAGTAATATATTATTTTTACGAAACTACTGACAATTTTTAGCTTCGATGCGAAGCAGAGAAGGTATTAATTTTACTATGATGTGTTTTTTTTTTTTTGTCTGTTGCCACTTTTTCTCAGCTCTCACTGGACCGATTTCTTTCAAAAATACGTCAAAAGATCACAAATCGTATCTAGTTGAAGACATTACCCTTAAAAATTGAAAAAAATT